AAAGAACTGCATCTATTTCTTGAGCTACTTATGTTAAACAACCACGAATGTTAAACAACCAATGTTTGATGTGGAATACTTGACAACGCATAAGGATCGGCTATTTTAGAACCTGTTCTTCATCTGTATCTCCGCCGCCCTCCTCGACTGATGACACCACCACCGGACTGTTTGGAAGCACGGTCGTTTCCATACGAATAACACTCCCGTCCTCTGAACTGGAATACGATACAATTGTACCAATAGTCAGTGTTTTACCCGACGGTTTCGTCTGCAACTCTCTTACTCCGACATCTCACTTAACACCGTCGGCCAACCTCTCGGATGCCAATGGTTGATCCGTTGGACGATTCATTGTTGTCACTACCGGAGTTGGTTGATTCCCCACCAAGCTTTTGATGGACATCGATCTCTCCAATGAGCTGTCGATGTTTATCGGGTTCTCCGCAGTGCCTTTATCCGCTGGAGCTACTTCTCGAGCTACTCGTGCTGTCAAATACTCTGATGCTGTAAGTGCTGCCGTTTTTCGGGCATCCCAGTCTTGTTTGCCCCTCTTCTTGGTTAATGGGCTTTTGAAGCGCTCTGCCCCAGGTATTTGATTTCCTTCCGGCTGAGTACCTAAAAATGTCGAGAGATCCCGTTCTCAGCGTCATGCTCGATGTAGATTTCAACGGCTCACCAGGCTCTTCGTGAGAAGTATTTCGAGCACCCCCAACAGCGTTCACCTGGCCTGCACTGGTGGCAATTGCCCTTGTGAAGAACCTTTCTCTCTAAACTCTGGCGGTCTCCTCTCTCGTAAGGGTCGGGTATTATGGCTTTTATTCTCGTTTGATTACTTCGTACGTCTTACTTGTCAAACTAGCGTATGAAATCTTCTATGGAGTAATTAAAATTATCCACGCTGTAAAAATATTAACTGAACTTCCTACTGAAACGAAATTTTTTTTTTGCTATAGTTTTCACTAGTTCAGGGCGATTTTATTTGTCAAGAGCTATCCATTGATTTGATCCTTTCTTGAAAGATTCGAAGAACTGTTTTTAAGTAATGTCTCTTCAATCTTCACACGTGTCGATGAAATTGTTCTTACAGCACGAGGCATTAGAAATTTTTTTTCTGAACAGCACGCAGGGAATTGTCTGATTTATTGTCGATTCTTCGGGTGTGTTTTTTCCGATCTTGTCTGACAGTCGGTTTCACAAAAAACCGTGTGAAAACAATCACCTCTGCTTCCTGGACATTTCTCTTGTTTTTCCTGGAACATACCAATGAGACTGAGCAGCGAATCGTCAAGATTTGGAATGTTGATCCACTGCGATTTCACTTTTGTAAGTTCTATGGGTTTTTTGTCGATTAATTAATTCCGAGTCTTATATGTCATTCGAGCGTATTTGTCCCAATCGAGATCGTCGAAACCAATTGTATCTTTTTTTTTAATCGAATTTTCGGTCGAATACGGCCACAATCTGCTTCCAGAACACTTCTCTTATGTGTTTCCAGGAACATTTTAATCGTGCTGAGCAGCTATCCGTCAAAGTTGGGACTGTTGGCTCACTGCGATCTGGCTACTTTGAATTTTTCATGGTGAGTTTCGCGTTTGATTACATCCTACGTGTTACATGACACACCAGCGTTTAAGTCGGATCGCCGAAACCGATTGTAACTATTAAACTTAGCACGGTCCATTACGATCTCAGTCTGCATGCAGAAGACACTCCCTTTGTTTCCTAGAGTATGCCAAACATCTTGAGGAGCAATCCGTGAAATCTTGCTCCTGTGAAATTTTCAGTTTTCACTTATTTATTTAGTTAGTTACCAAGTCTTAGATGACAAGCCAGCGTTTTTCCCGATCGCGATTGTCGAAACAGATGATAACAATTATATGTAACAGTCGGTTGATATCACCAATAACCGTGATCGGATGCGTTCGTAGGGCTTTCGTCTACCTGGCTAGTTTTGAAGCGACATCTTTGCTTTGAATTTGATTGAGAGTCCTTTTGTTGGAGATTTCTATGGAATGTTCAACTTTAGTGGCGATATGAAGATTATTAACATAACTTCAGAAATTTTTTTATTGCCAGGAACTCAAATTAATTTGAAGTGTCAAGGAATGAATGAAAAAATAACCAATCAGAGAGGAAAATTGACAATTTTGTCAGATGACAAAGGCGGAAGAGCTGGTTATCTAGTGACGGAAACCTAATCGGCCGAAAGTTAATGTTTCTACCTCTCACATTCGGGTCTGTCCGGTTGCCTGGGTCTGTGGCGGGGGGGGGGGGGGGGGGAGGGGGTAGATCTCATCGTAGATCGGTTGACTAACAAATGCTCAGGTAAAGTATGAAAACACCGAGTTGAATAAATTAATTTCTTTCCAATTTATAGGAAAAAGGAAGAAACTGTCTGATTTGTGTCGGAACAAAACCAAAAAAAAACAATAGAGCATATAAGTTTTAGAGGATATAAGCAACATAAATCGTACGTAATTTTAGCAGCAATAGTTGACAGCAAACACGAAAGTTATTAGCCAAAAATCTGTCTTTTTGAGGCCAGACAAGGTCGAATTCGATTGGTTTTACGTTTATACGGGCTCGGTATATGAGCTTCTGTAGTTTTTACACAATTACATAAGTTTTACGTAATTATTGCATAACTGTTACATAACTATTACACAATAGTAGTAAAATAAGGTAGCCGAACATTTTCCTTATTAACAACTGAATGGCCATATGGCCTTGGGGTGGCTCGAACCTACGCCAGGGGGATCGGACTAGATATTCACTTTAGCTGAGACTGCTCGGCCACGTGTTCTTATTTGGCTTTGATTTCACTGCGTTTATAGTTCCAGTTTACATTTGCCTTTCACGTGTAGTTCTAGTTCACAATTCAAGTGGAAACCGTTGACTAGCCCTGTCATTGCTTGATTATATTCGAGAATCCAAACAATGAAGCCAAGTTATGGGTTGTTTTTTTTTTGTTTTGATATATCCGTTTCGCTTTAGTCACAGTGTCTGTGTTCACGTTGTCTGTAATGTCTCTTCAATCTCCGCATGATTCGTTAAAAAATGCTTCTAATCACGAGACATGGGAAACTACTAAACGCTGGTCAGGAAATTCACCGTAGCTGCCGTTTTTGCAGTAAAAAGTCAAAAAACGACCCCAAGTTACAGAAATACGTATTTCGCAGCTAGAAACTTCCGTTTTCATCTATAGCAGCTTAAACAAATTTGATACTTTGCCTGTTATCCTAACTCCGAGAAAACAAAATTACCAAAGCTATAACAAACAATTTTAGTTACGACAACTTCTTTTGCGATAACAATTTTTGGTTGATTGTTGAGTAGTCTGATGACTGCATATACTGACACACCTCGTGAGAGCAGTCTATTAGAATACACTATTTTTAATCACTATTTAGATTACACTATTTAGAATACACTATTTGATCATACACCAAAGTATGGCAATTTTTGTTGAACTAGTAAGCGTTATCTTGTCGGCCAGGTCCCAGCTACTGGAAGCAACATTTTGCAATGACTTTGTATAGGTTCAATCAGTAATGAACTGTAATTCTTTTTCAAAGTCAATGTTGTGTCTGGTGAGACGTGGTCTCTATATATGTTCATGAAAAATTACTTCAAAGCACGAGACATCGTAAATTTAATCGTCTGCTTGTTTTTAGTCAATTTTCCTCGAGTTTGTTTCTCGATCTTGTCTGACAGTTGATTTCACAGACAATCATGTGAACTTAACCAAAATCTTTTTTATGCATCGTTTTTGTAAAGGGAAAATTGGTACTGGCCACAGCACATAATATGCCGAAGCTTTAGTCGTTTTTACTGAAACTAAAAATCTCATTGTTTTCCGGTTTTGTGCAAGTAATTGAGTGTTTTGTGTTAGAATGTGTTCTACTTGTACGCAAAGTACCGGATGATTGGTAGTATTGACAATAAGATAGCCTTTTTTGTTGTTGTTTCCGAAGTTTGAATCATCCCTCTATGGACCATTACTACAAATGATGGCCCATAAAGGAATGACAAGAATTGAAATTTCTGAACACAAGTCGAACAAAAAATGCTACGTTTTTGACAGAGTGGTTTTTCAATACTATCAATCATCCTGTACGTTTTTGAACAAATACTTAATAACACAACATGCTCATTGCAATAATTACTTGCCTAAAACTGGAATGCATTGAAAAGATTTCTAGTTCTGAAGATTTTTTGAAAAGATTTTTAGTTTGGCATGTTCTCTGCTGTGGCCACTACAGGTTTTCCGTTTACAAGACAAACGATGTATACTAAAAGGTTGTGGTTATGTTCACATGGCTGTCTGTGAAATCAGCTGTCAAACAAGATCGAGAAATAAACAAGCAAACGATTTTTTTCTCCAGGCAAATTTCGACTAGCCGTTTTAATCGGTTTTTAAATCATCTGATAAGTATTGTTGACCTGAGATCAAATTTAAAAAGAACTTCCACCAGCGATTTTTGTCGTTAAGTTATGGGTGTTCAAATAATGTCAGTTTGGGACTATAAACGGGTAAGCGGAGATTTGTTCCCTCCAAATAGCTAACCTTTTTCAATTTGGATTGATTTTTTATTTTAAAGACTTTGGCATATGCGAAATTGTTTTTTTTTCGTGTTTAACATATCGTTTGGAGGCTGATTTAAAAGAAAAGCTCCAACTTTTTCAATTTCTTTTTTTTTGAAATTTTCATCTATTTTTTCAAAGAGCACTTACTTCGTAGACCTTTTAAGCCAGTGGGAACATTTTTGGCTCCGCCCTTGTATACGAACAGTCTCGTCTTAATTTCAGCAGCGCTTAATGGCTCGTTGCCGACCTACTCGCCATTGAAGATATCTGCATTATCATTATTTGTTTACCAAATTTATAAATTAACTGATTCACTTAAATAATCTTTTCAAGTCCTGCTAATACTCTTAAATATTTAATTGATTGTCTGAGGTTTGTGATAGAGAAGAGAAGAAACGTTCTGAAGATGTTTTTAGATGAGTTTGAGCGTATGAGTTCCAATCAACCTGTGGTGAGTGGCGTGAGGCCAAATTTTGGACCCTACGAGACTCCGATAGACATCAGGGGCAACAATTTGGGCTTCACGAGGGACGATGTGAAATCAGTGAAGATATGTGGAGTGGAGTGTATAGCACAGGCTAAGTGGATTAGTCAGACGCACATCAAGTGCATGAATTTGGTGGTCACTGCTGAAGAGGTCACCGGAGATATCATTGTGACCACTCAATCTGGAGGGGAGGGCACATCTGACGTAAGCACATTGAGTTTCGGCAGAGAGGGTGCTGTATGCACATATAGCTCTTAATTGAAAATTCAAATGAAGAGCAGTACACGACTATTTTTTAAAAAAAATTGTTTGATTAGACTTTTATGAAATTTCTGTTGTAGTCTGGTACCGACTTTTTAATAATAATAATCATCATAATAGTTACGCGGAATATAGACTCCTGTAAGCACCTGGATTATCAAAGTCTTTTAATACATTGGTAGCTTGATTACATTTGCGAAGCTAGTGTATTATTTATATATTTATTTAAATATTCATCATGAGTAATCAAATTATCATAACACAATATGCAACATTTCAAAAATAACACATGATAGGACAACCAGAAAGCCAACGAGAGGCTTGTTGAAGGTTGCCCTGTAAAGGAATCACATCATATGACATCAGATCAAAAGGTTCAATAATTAATTTCGGTCAAAGAGGCAAATTAAATGCGAAAGAAAAAAAAACAAAACTTAAATAGTGCAATCACTTTTTTTTTTTAATTTAAGATCTTTATTCTTTAATATGAGAACCAGAGATATGATGCAAGCTTATACCTACAAGGGTATACAACTGACAGCGGGCGGATGCGAAATAAGGTCAGTTAATTTAATCAGCTAGCAAGTGGGCCCAGTTCTTAAGAGCTGGTAATCCAGTTGTCGCTTTTTTCTAACCCCCCTTCCTAGTGTCCACTGCCTGGTACCTTAGACGAGAGGTTATCAGGTCTAACCGAGGACTCAGGGAAGTTAGAATGGATTAGTTCAAGTCTAGCGATATAATTCATCAATCAAATTGCAATTTCCTATTATAGATGAATCTAAGATTGAATGACAGAAAGCATTTTTTGAATGATGGGTTTCAAAGGTGGGTTTACACACCAATTGGCTAATATATTGATTAATTTGGCAACACGATGGGAAACAGAGTTATATTTAAGCCTACTTTTCATTGATGGTAAAATACGAGCACCCTTTACTGATGACCTCGTTGAATAAAAAATAGTTTCACATTTCTGAGACAATTCTTCAATGACTATTTTCTTTAGAATTTCATATACATGTAACTCGTATAATGTAGCAATTTTGCTTTCGGCCCTTATATCCGTTATCTAGTCACGATAACTTTTGCAAAAAGTTATACGAAAAAATCGTTTTTGTAGTTTATGGATAACATCTAATGCACTTTTGCAAACTGCTCCATAAACAAGAACTCCATATTGAACACAAGGTTGTACATAAGTTTTGTAGTACATGACCATTTGTGAACTGGTCATCACATTACGAAGGCGGTATGCAACTCTACAGAACCGGGTTAATTTTTTTCGTATATTCTCAATATGATCTTTGAAGGATGGTTTATTATCCAATTCAATGCCTAGGTATTTGCAGCTAGCAATGGGCTGTAAACAAGTGTCTGCAAAATATATAGCCTCCGCTTTGGATTTTGAAAAAATTAGTAGCTTAGACTTCGATCCTTCTACGGTAAGTTTATTAAACTTCATCCAGTTATCTGTTCGATTTAGATCTTCTTGAAAGTCATCAAGGGAAGCGTTTTTATTTTTATTAACAGATGTATCGTCAGCAAACAAAGTAAGTCGGCAATTTCTTACAATTCTGGGAAGGTCATTGATATAGATCAAAAAGAGCAACGGTCCTAAGACTGAACCCTGTGGCACCCCGCACAAAACATCTTTCAATTCGCTTTTAAATTGATTTAGGACAACATACTGTTTCCTATTAGACAAGTAACTTCTTAGAATTTCCAGCGACTTTCCTCTTACTCCATACCGCTTTAATTTATCAATTAAGATCGCATGATTGACAGTGTCAAAAGCTTTTTTTCAGATCTAATATAACTAACATAACGTCTTTATTCTTCTGATCTCTCAGGTTACGAACCTCTTCTGTTAGATCTAGAACCGCTTTAACTGTGCTTAATTTACTACGGAAGCCATATTGATTTGTACTGAGCAACTTGCAATTTTCCAAATAACTACTTAATCGGAAATGAATTCTCTTCTCAAAGATTTTTGACAGCGTTGATAACAAAGATATGGGTCGATAATTTCCATATTCGTCTTGCAATCCACCTTTATGAATCGGAAAAACTGGCAATTTTTAAGTATTTCGGATAGCACCCATTTGTGTAGCAGGTATTGAAAAAGTTCGTGAGCCATGGCGTGATTATTGGTTTACATAATTTGACTATTGCTGTATTGATGCAATCACAACCCGAGCTGAGTTTATTTGGTAATTCTGTTATTATTTGTTCTATTTCTGTTTCCTTTATACTCGGAAAGAACATTGAATAATCAACCTTTTCTAATGAAATAGGATCTGCAACTCCAATTTTATCACTTAGATTTGGACCAATATTTACAAAAAAATTGTTCATAACTTGAGCTTTTTTTCATTTTTATCATCTGGCAACGTTACATTTTTATGTTTTCTAAGATATGCTGCAACCGCTTTATGATACTTATGAGAGTCTGTTGTGTTTAGCTTTGATCTCCAGAAACTTCTGAATGATTTCCGATTCAGGGCTTTCGGATTTGTTTCGTAATGAGTTATATTTGATCTTGTTATCTTCTGTAGGGTTTTTTTATATATGTCCTGTATGCGAATGCTTTTTTATTTGCTACTTTTTTCACTTCTTTTGTCACCCACGACTTGTTATTTTTCGGCACATAACGAGTTTGAGAGGGAGCAAACCTATCAATGCAACTGAGAATTATTTCAGAGAACTTTCCAGCAGATTTATCTAAATCGGACAAGGTACCATCAACTTCCTTCCATTTGGACTGTAAGAGGAAAGCAAAGCTAAATGTTTCTTTATATCGTCTAACCAATTTTGGCATAGAGATAGAAACTTTAATCATGAAATGATCGGCTGGACCCCAGCGGTGTATACAACTAATGTTTATTCCAATATTTCCCCAAATATGATCGATACAAGAGTTTGTTTTTGAAGTTACTCGTGTCGGTAACAGAGGTGACAACAAATGATAACCGAAAAAACTGAACATTTCAGTAAGATCATCTCTTGCTTTGTGTTTTTTCATCATGTCAATATTAAAAATCTCCCATAATCATATGTCTCTTTTTCGACTTGGCTTCGCTTGAGACCTTTTCTAGTTTGTGGACAATATCCTCGACCCTCATTGACGGTTGACGATATAAAACAGTTACAGTCGTTGCCGTTTTATCACCTGCTACAACCTTTATTTTTAAAATTTCTCCTGCAGACAGCTCCACTAACTGGCTTGTAATAAGCTCCGTTCGTATATATAAACTCACTCCACCTCCTCTGCTCAGCCGAGGACTCGAGAAAAACTTGTATTCTTGCAAATTGAACAACTCGGCTGAATCATTAGGGTTCAGCCAAGTTTCAGTGACAGCGATAACTGCTGGGGCTATTGCAAGTTGCTCAAGACTTACTTTAAAGGCTTAAAAATTAGATTTAAGTGATCGCACGTTAACATTTAGTAATGAAACGGCCTCAAGAATTTGGGTAAATGACGATGGGGACATAAAATGAAATAAAATAAAAATGAGATTGAATAAAAGTCCCTACTGAGGCTGTCTTGTCTTGAAGTAAACACAGTAAACACACTTGAAGTATTGCTAACATTAGAATGAAGCTCAGTTTGAGGAGATTGTTTTGCTAAGTTATCAACATACTGCACAATTTTTTCAGGTTCATTTCTGTGCTTCTTAACATAATCAAGGATTTGCTGATCCGACCCGGGACTTGGCGGAGACACTCGTTTTGGCGATGTCGTGTTGACATTTAGCCTCATCTTGCATCTTGATTTCCTAATTGAGCAACGTTTCCGCATCAACCGAGTCTGCAACATTACGAGTGAACACCTTCCCGTTCTTACGCTTCATAAAGACTTGCGGTGCGCAATTGTTCGTTGTTGTATTCAAATTAAGGCCTTTCATGTAGTCGAGTAAATCTGAATCTTTCTTTGTCAGTCTCTCAAAAAGGTATGCAGGTTTTTTATTGATCTGATTGAGATAATGTCGTAAAAATGCTTCCTTGCCCAGATACGGTCTTTCATATCAAAATAGACAAATTTCACAATAATGGCTGGGGGGTTTTTGATGTCGCGAATTGGGCCTAGAGGGTGACACGCTACCATGGAATCACGAGGCACATAGATGTCAATTGCTTCACAAAAGAATGCGATTACATCTTCTACATAATCAGAGCCATGTCGCAGAGGTATATTGTTTATAATGATACAATCTTTTGAGGAATAGCGCTCCAGATCATTTACTTTTTCTAAATTAATTCATTTTTCATGTTTGCAATGGTGCCGCTTTGAGTTTCAACATGGCATAAAAGATCTTGCAGAATTGATTTCAAAGATGGATCAATATCATTCGACAGTTGGTTAAATTTTTCTTTGATAATGTTCAACATCATGATAGCTCCCAGTAAGGTGTAAGAGTTATCTCAGTGTTCAGTCCAAATCTGAAACTATTTAATAAGTTTATCACAACAATTAGGCTAAGTATTAGTACTTAGTACCAACCTTCTTTTTTTCCAACCTAAGTCCAGGCCTGCCAACTAGTTCATATTATATGAACTAGTTTATATGGTTCATATTTGTTTCATATTTGAGCGAGAGTTCATATTTCATGTTTTTAATTGTTTTTCAATGAGTTACACGTAGTGCGTCTATTTTATATAGGTTTTTTTTAAACCTTCATTTTTTTCGAAAGTTGATTTGTTCCAGAGAATGGGAAAATGTACTGTGTCATCAGCTCTACTCGAGGGGTTTTCTTGGGCCAATGCAGAGAACCAGGACCAAGTCCGATGCAAATTGGATAATCGCGTTTTTCGGATTTCACATGGGCGATTCGATCTAAAGCAACATGAAGAGACTCAGCTACACAAGAAAGCGGTAACTGCGCGCGCTGCAACTCCCGACATTAGGACTGATTGCCAGCGATTGAGTGCACTTATTATTCATG